TACCTAGCCTGGGTGCTGGGTGGCTTCCTCTGAGCCGCTTGCAGTGCCTGCAGTTTTCCTTTAGGCAGAAGAGAGCCCCTTGCTGGGATTTGCCCGGGTTGGTGCACCTAAACACCTTAGGGTTGGCTGGTTGTGTGACTATGAAGCTGATTGCCTAGAAAGTTGAAATTTTGTTAAATGAAATTGTTGCGAGCCTACTATATGATAGCCTCCCTGCTGAGTTCTAGGGGCAGAGATGGGTAAGACCACGCCCGCTCCCAGGCGTCACCTGTGCAGCATTAAGGATGCAGAAAGTGCCAGCCGCCCCGAACCTGACAGGTTTTTACTTTATATGCATTATGGCTGGGGGCCAAGCAGGGCTTCTGTTCTCTTCTGTTGTTACGTAACAGATCACCACAGGCTGCGTGACTTGACATCTGTTTATTAGGTCATCGTTCTGTGGGTCAGAAGCCTGGGCTGCCTCAGTTGGGTTCTCTTGCCAGAGAGTCCAAGATCCAGATACCAGCTTGACTGGGCTCTTATCCCGAGGCTCTGGGGGAGAACCTGCTTCCAGGCTCATTCCATTCAGGTTGGCACAATCAAATGCCCGGTGGTTGTAGGACTGAGGTCCCCTCTCTTCCCTCGCTGTCGCTGGGCGCTGATTGTGGTTCCCGCAGGCTGCTGCAGTCTGTGCCGCGTGTGGTTCCCACCCCCCACCGCTCCCCACTTACACCTCCAAGTCGGCAGTGGGGCATCTGTTCTTTTCCTGCTTCAAGTCTCTGACATCCGCTTGTGCAGTCAGCTGGAGAACACTCCGCTTTGAAGGGCTCGTGCCATTAGGTCATGCCCACCCAGAGAGTTTCCCTCTTTTAAGGTCACCTGATTAGTTAGTAACATCATCATCAGATCTGCAGATCCTTTTGTCATGTAGGTAACACGGTCGCAGTCACGGGAATAAGACCAGGGGTGGAGATCAGGGGGCCGTCTTTGAAATTTTGTACGGAGGGCCAGTGCCAACAGGGTTGCTGCAGCAACGGTGTTGGTAATAGTAGCTCTCACAAACGGAGTGAACTGTGCGTGTCCCACTGTGCTGAGCTCTATGTGGACTCTGTCATTTAATTCTCAGGGTAGCACTTTGCTGCAGGGACAGTTACTTTCAACTCCATTTTCCAGATGAGAAAATTGAGGCTCAGAGAACGTAAGTTTCTTGGGCCAGTCATACAGGTTGAAAGAGCAGTGCGGGGACTGTGGGGATTTGAAACCAGACTGAGCGCCTAACCACCCCGTCAAGCTGCTCAAGGCCAGCATCTCAGTTTGATTCCTGTGGTTTAAGGAGAACACTGTTTAGGACGTAGATAAGAGCTGCTCTTTCCCACCCAGTATTTAAAATATTTAAATATGAAACATACCTATCATGTTGCAGGTTAATGCGGCAGACCTGGGGGCCTCTCATGTGGATTTTTTTGATTCTTACTCCAGTGGTTACTGTGGTCAATCCCATGCAGCAGTATCATTGAACTTCTGGTGTATTCTAGGCAGCAAAAGGGACACAGAACACCGGCCTTGAGGAGTTGGAAATAACAGTAAGGGCATGGTACATGGTGACCAGAAGGAATAAATAATGCTGGACAGCAGAAGGACTGACTGTCCCAACTTTGCAGCAAAGGGCCGACGGGTGTTAGAATGTTAATCACAGGAGACGAGACAAAAATGCTCTGTTTATTCTCTGCCGCATTCCTGGTGCACAGCACAGGGCCAGCACAGCAGGTGCTCAGAAATTACTCATCAGGTTCATTTTTGTGTGTGCAAGGCCCTGTACGTGCCAGACAGATGTCAAGTCCAAAGGAGGTGGTGATCCTGAAACAAGAGGGCTTGCGTGGGAGAATCAGGAGGTGGGGGGAGCTGGAAAGGTCCGCGGTGCCCCAGCAGGTGGCGGGGGAAGGGGCCGGGGAGCAGACTGCACGAGGCTGGGTGTCAGAGCCTCGCTGACGGCTTTGGAGCAGGAGGGATCGGTGGTCAGAAGTGAAGCATTTGGCACGTGGTTGCCGGGAGTGGGAAAGACTGGGAACGCAGCCCACGGCAGCCCAGCCTGCAGCGCGAGGTCCCCACCTTGTTTCTGGCGTGGGACGAGCCACACGAGGGACCCGGGAAGGAGGATTTAGTGGAGCTTGGTGGCCAAGCGATACGCTAAAAATGTATCTGAATGAGTTGCAGTTTCTGGGCACCCATGTATTTGGCTCTAAATACACGTTATGTGTGTAATTTCAAGAGACCAAGAATCACCAACTGCAAAGCCCGAGGCAGAGGCCCACACTCGCCCTGCAGTTTGCCAGCTCAGGCCCTGCCTCTGCCAACCACCCAGGCCTGTTGTTTGGGGGAAAATGAGGGGTCCTGTGGTGAGAGAAAGGCCTCTGATGAGGGAGGGAGGGAGGGAGAAGTGGAGCTGGCTGGTTCTTCAAGGAGGTGATGGGGTGGGCGTGTGTTCAGAGGGCCGGCTTGGGTGCCCACACGTCCGCACACTGGGGAGGGGCTGAGACCCTATGCAGGGGGATTCCATTCCCACTACCCACCACTTTCTGTGGAAGTGTCTTTCTCTGAGTTCTTTAAAACAAACACGGTCAACGTGGAGGATGAGGGCGCTCTGCTGACTCAGTGTCCTCAAAGCATGGCCAGGGAGGGTCCCTGGGGTTCTTCCGGGGTTCACGAGGTCCGGAACTTTTCATGTAACACCCAGATACTATTGGCTTATTCACCCGTTCTCTCTAAGTGCATAACTCCGTGAACCAGCATTTTCCAAATGACCGGTGCATGGAGGTATGAAGTCACTCATGGCTAAACGAGCCGTTCAGAGTGCAAGACAGCCCCGGAGATCAGACGATCCTGGAGGTCAGACAGTCCTGGGGCCCGCAGGTTCACCGACGCAGGCTCAGGCCCCACGTCGCAGCGAATCTTGAAGAAACTGCTTGCTTGTCAGGTCTCAATGTCTTAACAGAAAAGGCACATCCACAAAGATCTGGAAAGGCTTTTAAAATAGCCTTCTCTTTCCAACCACCTGTCTGTGTGAGGCTGGATTTTCTTCTAGTCCTCAGTGAAAACAGTTTATAACAAATTGAATGTAGAAGCAGATCTAAGAATCCAGCCACTATTCTCAAAAAAAAAAAATCTTTTGGAAACAGATTTATGAAAAATAACTTATTTGTGCTCACATTTAATGAGTTTATTATTTTTGTGTTAACTAGTATACGTTTTAATTTGTTCTTAGTTTTAATTTGGAATGTGATAGATATCATAGGTCAAACCACATAAATGGTTGAAGTCTCTTAGGGTCCTCAGTTGTTTTTGTTTTCTTCCTTATATTTCCTTTTTTCTTCTTAATTAATGTATAGTCAGTTTACAATGCTGTGTTTCTGGTGTACAGCAATGATTCATTTATACATATATATATATTCCTTTTCATATTCTTTTTCATTATAGGCCATTACACGGTATTGAATGTAGCCCCCTGTGCTGTACAGTAGGACTTTGTTTATCCATTTTATATAAAGTAGTTTGTATCTAAATCCCGAACTCCCAATTTACCCCTCCCTCTTCCCCTCCGCCCCGTAATCATAGGTTTGTTTTCTGTCTGTAAGTCTGTCCAATCGTTTTTAAATTGTGAAATGATCCTGAGGCCAGACCATTCGAGAACAGTTGTGCTACCTGAAGCCCCTGCAGAGCGGGGCCTGGGGTGGGCCCTGAGCCCAGCTCTGTGCCCCCGGTTCCCCCGCTTGGCCCCCCGGCAGTCCTGCAAGGCTGGTGTGATTGTTTTCATGCCCGTTTTACAAATGTGGAAACTGAGGCACTGAGCATTTGAACTTCCCAGGCACAGGCCTCACAGCACGGAGATGGCAGTGGTGGCAAGCGGGGAGGTCCCAGACTGAGGTCCCCCAGGCAGGGAGGGCGGCAGATGCCTGAGAGCAAGCCTGTAACGCAGGCCTGGCCTGCGTCCTCAAGTTGTCCGCTGTCCGTCGCAGCGGGCACTCTCCACAGTGGCCCTCGGCCTGGCTGGAAGGAGGTACCCCTTCACCCGCTTCCTCCTTTCCTGAGGCCCCAGAGGGAAGAGTCAAGTTTGCTGAGTGGCTGCGAGGCACTTGAGAAGTCAAGTGTTTTTCATGGGGAATAAGCATCTCCTCTTCAGGCACACACCACGCTGGCAGCTGGGAAGGTGGTTCTTTTCTATGAAGAGCCCATGTTGTGCCGTTTGGGCAGGGACTTTAGAACGAAGCAGCTTTGAGTACGGAGGATGTGTGCGTATCTCTCACCTTCTCTGTGCCTCAGTTTGCCCATCTGTACAGTGGGGACAAGAAGAGGTGTTACAAGCGTAAAGTGAAAGAAGGCATTACAGCACCTGGCGTCGAGGCTGGAGTCCAGCAAGGTTTAAAACAAAGCGACCCTACCTCAGGCAGGAGTCCGGCGGGTTCGGGGGGCGTGCGGTGAAGACAGCCTCCCGGTTCTCCTCCCAGGGGGTAGCTACCGTAACCAGTCTCTCCCCCAGCCTAGCAGAGACAGTGTGCGCCGGTCCCAGCAGGTGTGTGTGCCTAGGTGGTTGGTTTTTAACAGATGTGAACGGTGGCATCCTGCTCACAGCGCTTTTCACTTTAGCCCAGAAAGCCAGTTGCTTGCTTTATGTTTATCGTTCTGTGGCGCTCCCCTGTGTGAATGAGCCCACGTTTATTTCCCTGGGCCTCTTAACCCGTGAACACTGAGGCTGTTTCCAACCTTTCGCTCGCAGCCAAAAGGAGATGTGCAAGTGTGGCCGCGGGCAGGATCCCCAGGTGTGCGGGGGCTGGGGCAGAGGGCGCGTGCATTTGTCGTCTGGGAAGATCTTGCCAGCTCGCTCCCCAGCCACACTCCCTGCCCCTCCGCCCTCCGTGGGAAGGGAAAGACAGAGCTGTGTCCTGGGCGCTGGCAGCTGAGGGACATTCCCGCTCTGGTTGGACACCAGCACTGCCAGCCTGGAGTAGGACGAGGCCGCTAGAGCACAGGGAGGGCGGAACCCACGTGCAGTAAGTGGCTGGTGCTTTACTATTTCTTTCTTTTTTGTTTTTTTTTAATTCTTCTTCTGTGTTCGTTTTCCTCCCAGGCTGTCACTCCAGGTGGCTCATTGAAAGTGATATCTAGGCCAGAGTGCTCTTAATGGCTCCATCTGCGGGCCTCTGCGAATCTTTCAGGGAGTGAGACCGGAAGAGAGACAGCCTCCCTCCAGGTCCCCAGCCGCCCACTGCCCCCCTTCAGTTACCAAGGGCCCTGCCAGTCCTGCTGGAGAGGGAGGGACCCAGGACCAGGAGGGGGACTGCTCTCTGCACCCCTTTGTTTCTCTTTCTGGCTTTGGCCAAGTGAAAGGAAACAAGTTATTTCAACAGATGGGTGAACCTGAGCGCCGATTTCTTTGTCCCTCTGTAGAGCGGTGGTGTCTGTTTCCTCGGCCCTGCTCCCGTCTGGAGCAGCAGGTGGGCTTGTGGACCCGCAGCGTCGGGGGCCGGAGACAGTCCAGGCCGCCCCACCGAGCTGAGGGGCAGCGGGACGGCGGTGGGGTGGAGGCCGGGCTGCAGCTGCCCCCTGCCCTGCCCTGCCGAGTGCGGAGGGCTCTGAGCCTCCCCTCCCGTTGCTGAAAGAAGCCTCTTTGTTGCAGGGGTGGTTTCATTAAACATGGCAAACGGAGCTTGTAGGACGGTATGACATCAGACATGTGTAATTCTTCTCCAGAGTTTTTATCTCGAGAGAATACAGTAATTCCACATAAGCAAAGACACTGTTGGCTACAAATTCAAAAAACTAGGGATGAATGAATTAGGAAGTCATGGCGGTTATCTGCTTCACAGACGTTAAAGATTACAGCTGACAACCCCAGAGACACTGGGCCGGTTCACAAGGAGCGGATGACCGCGCATCCCAGGGCCTGCGCGGGCGGCCCCTAGGCCCCCTGTGTCCAGTGGTGAATGAAGGGTGGGAGTATGCAAGCTGTGTGAATCAATTTTTAAAAATGTGAAGTAGCATGCTGTAATTGCAACAAGGTAAAATGTCTGTCTGGGGATAAGGGATGAAAATAATAAGCCAAAGTGAAAATAGTTCTTCGGTTTGCAGTGTTTCTCAACCTTATCGCTCCTCTCACCCCCCAAACCTTTTGGACCTTTTGTTCCTACTTGCACTCGACACTGGCCCCCCACCCGTTGAATTTCAATACCAAGTGCGCTGTGTGTCTGTGCTTTGTACACAAAACAAACAAGAACCAGTGTTTGCTCCTCAGGGCAGAGCCCCTGCTCTCCACCCCCGCCCTCGGGAGAACGTCTGTGCTGGGTCTGAGGTTCCCCGGGGTTGTCGTCTTTGTGTCTCACGCTTCACTTCTGTGCTGCCTCCTCAGGAGAGGTGACGGAGCCCCTGAGGCTGCCTGTCTCACTTGGTTGGTGGAGCTCACACTCAGAACTGAGGATCCTGGGCAGAAAAGGGGGTGCCGATCGACCACGGCTGGACACGTGGCCCAGGCAGCCCCTCCCGTGGCAGGGCGTGACTGCCCACGGCCCCCTGCGCAGTGTCCCGGCCTGTGAGAGGCGCTCAGGACGGTGCCTAGCCCAGAGTTGCTCAGTCACGGGTGTGTCCGTGGTTGGGCTGTTGTCATTCCCGTTCCTCTGAGCTGCTGCTCTCTTGCCTGCAGATGACAGAGCTGGCAGGACAGCTGGGAGGGCTGCGCGTCTGTCCGGGGTGAGTGAAGCCGCGTGGCTGGTTTTGGCCAGTGAGCTGGGAGCAGAAGTGTCCTCCCAGGCCAAGCACTGAGCTGTCAGCGCCACACTTTCCAGAGCATTCTGTCTTCTCCTGTTGGCATGGTGACTGGGGCACTGTGGCTGCTCTGTTATCTGAGTCCCTGGGAGTGGCAGTGATGAGAGGAGCACTCTCTTTCCCTCCCCCAACCACCAGTGAAACCATAAGGCATGTCACTTGGACAGGAAGTAAGTCTCTGTCCCTAAAGCCACGAGGTTTGTGAGATGTGAGACACCTGGCACAGTGTGGGCACATGGTCGTCATGCGCTGTGTGGCTCCCTTCCCGACCAGAATTCCCTCCTGATTGCGACAGGTGTTGCTTCCTCTCTCAGCAGAGTTTCGCAGGCCTTGACCCTTTATCTCCTGTCCCCTGCCTTCCCTGGGAAAGGCCAGCGCCGTGCACCTGCCGGAACCTCCCCCCACCCCAGCAGCGCGCCCACGGCCCACGCCAGGCGAGTTGGCTCCACCCCCCAGTGTCTGTCAGGGTCATAGCTCCGGCTGCCGACCACCGGGGGCTGCCGGCAGCATGGGCCTTGGCGGTCAGTCACGGAAGCGAAAGTGACTGCCCTTCCTCAAGTGCGCCTGACAGTCGTGTGCGTTAAGTAGAAAGGCTGGAGCATTTGCCCGCCCCCTGGGTCTGCTGGGACCATCTTCCCCTTCCCAGCTTTGGGTGCAGACAGACCACTTGTAGGGTGGTCTCAGGGTTCACTGCCCTCTAGGACAGAGTGTGTGTGTGTGTCCCTTTTGCGACGGTACAGTGACCTGATCAGGCCCTCAGACCGGCAGGCGGGAAGCAGGCTGTCCCAGTGTGCTGCCGGAGGGGTGGAAGGGTTGGGGTTCTGCCCTGCGGGGGTGCACTCTGGGGCGGGCTGGCCTGCGCCCACCCTTCCTGGGGAGCTATTTGGGACAGGACAATCTGGTACTGCCTGAAGAGAAACCCCGGTTATTACCAAGCAGTGTACGAAGCAGGACCCTCACCCCTGCCCCGAGGCTCGCTCCGTTCTAGAACTGCCCCCACGGCCAGCCCCTTCCCCTGCCGGAGGGGTGGGGTGGGGGGGGCTGAGGGCCGGGGTGGGCGCAGGGTCGCACCCAGCAGACAAACCACGTGAGTGCAGGAGGCGTGTGTTACACAGTTCCCACGGCTTGACTGCAGGTTTGAAATCTTTCACAATCAAAAGCTGAAAAACAAGATCAAAAGAAATAAATACACAGAAAATATGAACAGTTTTAACCTGTTGTATTTGCAAAAGACATCAGGTATCTACAGTTTTTGAATAAATATATATGTGGTTGCTTTTTGTTTGCTTTTGGAAGAAAGGACCATTGAACGGCAGAAACGACAGGGAGAGGGCCCATTGTCCGAGAAGCCGCTTGTATCTGGAATGATCTGTGGCTCTGATTCAGCTACCGTGGTCATACTGATTTCACTTTCAGTTAACAGTTAGATCTGTCTGCTTCACAAGGTGCTTAGTCTGTTTTCCACTTGAAAATCGGGTAGCTGGCTGCCCCTGCGCCCCGTGAGCTCCCTGAAGTGTGTGTGTCCCCCAGACACAGGCAGGGCGGGGATTCGATTGGCAGCAACACGGGGTATCCGCTCGGAGCCCTGGCCCCGGGTGGGATACCTCATAGCATGGGGCCCTTCATTGTCACATTTCCAGGAGTAACCCGGATCCAGCAGGCTGGGCGGAAACCTTGAGTTTTTTCTCCTGATTACAAAAATATGACATACTCATTTAAAAAGCCAAACGACTTAAAAATGCCTAGAGTAGACAGTGAAAACCCCCTTAGCCAAAGTGGAGGTTAGGGTGGAGCAAGGATCAGGACTGTGCTGTGTGCTTTATTCAGTGACCGTGGTAATGACACAACAATAGTAAAAGAGCTGACCGAGTCAGCAGGAGAGGGCCAGGCTGTCCTAAATGCCTGTCACTGACTCTCTCATGCAGCTCGCACCGCAACCCTGTAAAGTCGTGGTTGTTTTCATCATCACTTTATGGTTGAGAAGAATAGGCCCAGAGAGGCGAATTAACTTTCCCAAGGTCACACAGTCAGGGCGGGGCTGTCTCTAGGGACCCTGTTCCTACCCACTGGCGTTGAGCTTTTGACTTCCTTCCCTCCCAGCTGCTTTGTCACAGGTGTGTCGGTATAGCCGGGCAGAACACCCCGAGGTACGGCTCCTCAGTAAATACTTGCTGCCCTCCCCTCTCCAGGCCGGGGTCTGCCTGCCGCAGCTGGGCCGCCCACTTCTTCACTAGCACCGGGGCTCAGATACCGCCGGCCCCGAGTGAAGGCGCCCCACCTGCCCTTGGCCTTTCCCTGGAAAGGCCGATCGTTTCTGCCCAGGCTCGGCACCTGCTGTTTCCCCGCCAGAACCCCCCTTTCCCTAGTGTCACCTCCTGGCTCCAGTGCATCACTTAAGTTTCAGCTCACATGTCCCCGCTTCACAGGGGCCGAGATGAGCCCACCACCGTCTTACCACCCCGTGACCCACTGCCGTTGTTTTTTCTTTGTAGAGCTTCCAGGAAGTGACAGTGTCCTGTTCTCTGATTTCTTTCCTGGTTGCTGGTTTGTCTCCCAGCGTCTACACCGCCAGCCCCCAGGGCGGAAACCCTGTCTCTGTATCACCATCTCCCCGCCAGCATGTGGGGATGGTTTGGGAAGCTTCTGGTAGATGAGCAAGTCAGAATCACATTACCTGCGCCCCCTCCCTGCTATGTCCCCCCCATACCCCACCCCCAGCGGGGTTCTGGGCTATTCCTGCTCCCTCCACCTCTAGCGAAGAACAAACAATGGGGTTGACACCTCATTTTGAAAATCCCTAACTCCTGGCTGGGGGTGGAAGGTGGGGAAGGGGACAGTCAGGCCTCCCAGAGAGCCCCCCAGAAATGCAGCTGCCTTCGCCCCGATGCGTCTTTCTCTGAGGATAGAGGCCTTCAGCTCTTAGTCACCAGAATCTGGGGACAGCTTGGCAAGCTTTTCTCCTGAAGGTCTCACCTCTTGGCTACTTCGCCTCCTTGTGTATTTAGTTAACTTTCCAGGGAGCCACCGGAGAGATGAGCCGGGCACACTGCTGCTTGGTGCATTTTAACCGCCTCCCTGCAGGGAAGGATTGCAGTCTGGGGAGCAGAGGTGTTGTCTGAGGGGGATCAATACCTCCTAGCAGGATGATAAATTGCTCGTCTGGAGTGTGGCAGGGTCCCGCAGTTAATTTGTGTGCCTTAAGTCCATCCAAGCCCAAGATGACACTTAGGAAATCAGAACATTCCTGTGATGCATACAGCGTGGGTGTGTGTGATTTATTGTGGCCCCGGACCGGGGGGGGGGCGGGCAGGCATGAAGACAGGTGTCCAAGAGGCTGTACAGACGTGATTCTGCAGCCACACTTTCCAGCACTCACCCATCCTGCCGCGGGGAACCTCTGTCCTCTACTCTCTTGGAACCCCCACCCCCACCCCCCAGCTCCTGCGTAGGGCTGGGTGTGTAACTGGTACTGGACACTGAGAATCATCTCATGGAACTGGTGCTTGGTGTCTGGGGTGGCCTGATCCCCGACTCAGGGGTCTGATGCCCTAGCAAGTCCTCGTACTAGTCAGGACTCCAGGTAGCATGTGACAGAACGTCTGGGGGCAGACTGGCTCTGCTCAGCAGGGACAAGGGGCCCTGCTCTCCTCTTCTGTGCAGCTTCCATCTCGGGTGGCACTCCCACTCCCGGCCTTGGCTCACTGTTGGCAGCATGGGGACAGAGCCTGCTGCATCACCCGCAGTGGAGTGAGCATCACAGACTCTCCTGGCCCATCCTGGTGTGGGCCCATCACAGTGGCTGGGAGGATGCTGGGGCCCAGTGATGGACTGCTTTGGCCAGCCAGGCCCAGTGCCCTGCCTTGGATCCCGTTTGTCCCAACAGCCTGCAGTGGAGGAAGGTGGTTCCTGAGAACAGCGGGGGGTCAGGGCCAGCAGGAGGGGGCTTGAGTGCCCACCACACATGTCCATTGTCGCAGCCACCCTGGCAGCATCCATGGTCTTCTCTGGGCCTGGAGGGCAGCCAGGCCAGCACAGCCGTGGATGTGGAGGGAGGTGAGCCTTGTGCACTGTGTGTGTCTCCGCTTCGTCATCCGGTCCAGGCAGCAGCCGCTCTGCGCCGGGTCCCATGGGTTAGCACCACACACCAGGCCTGCCTTCGGGGCAGATAAGCGGGTGATGCCGAGTTGTGGTGGGTGCTGTGAGGGCAGAAGTGGAGGAGGTGTGGGGAGAGGTGACCGCAACAAAGTGGCCCCTCTCAGGGCGACAGAGTGAGCCATTCAGGAGAAATGTGATGGGCGGGGGAGCCTCCCAGGCAGAAGAGCACGTGTCAAGGTCCCGAGGCGCAGCGACAAGTCCAGTGCGGCCCAAGGGGCAGCTCACTGGGACGTGCCAGGATGCGAGGACAGGTAGCCGGTGGGGCCTGGAGGCCACAGTGGGGACGTGGGGTTCTACTGCACGTGCTGGGACGTCTGTGGGGTTTTGAGCTGGGCGCGATGGGATCCAGGTGATGCTTTCCCCAGGCTCACTCTGGTCTCTGGGTGGCGCAGGCCGTGGAGGGCCAGAGCAGCAGCAGAGGCTGGTCAGGGGTTCCTGCGGGCCCGGGGGAGGGGCGGAGGTCGGGGGGTCAGGTCTGGGACGCACGTGGGAGGCGGGGCCGCAGGACTCGGTGTGGGGTGGAGTGATCTCAGCACGGAGGAGGGCGTCGATGTGGGTTCCCAGGCTGGGGAGGAGCAGGTTTGAGGTAACAGGCTCCCAGGTATTTGCCCACGAGACCCCACCCCCTGGAGTCCCGGCGATCAGGGCTGCCGCTGGGAGACTGGCTCAGGGCCAGGCCTCCCGAGAGGAGGTGGAACAGACAGGGAGACGGCCGGGCAGGTGCCTCTGCTCCCGGCTCCGCTCGGAGGAGCCCGGGCTGGCAGCTGTGGGGGTGGGAGCCCGCTTGGGTGTGCGCCTGTGTCTCTGGCTCCTGGCCCGCGCCAGCGGCCAGGCCTCTTGGTGCTGAGCAGTGCCGCAGCCAGCTCTGGGGCCCCGGGCTGCCCGCTCAGCCTGGCCCTGGGGGAGGCCGCCCCTTGACCTCATTCTCGGGGCAAACGTGGCTGCTCTGTTGGGGTTTGCCCTGCTTTGGGGCACTTTCTCAGTTTGGAGTCCTGCTTGGTCCTGCCCCAACCCCTCCTGAGGGGCCCTTCCAGGGAGGCCTGGTTAACAGCCCCCAGAGTGGAGGTGGGCCCAGCCCGCACCCACTTCCCAGTGCCAGCTGCGTCCTGCATGGACCTGGGCCCCAGGGAGGGAAGCGTGCCATCCAGGGCCAGGAAACCCGAGAGGGCCTTTGCCTGACAGGCTTAGAGTGTGTGTCCACGTGTGACCCTGCAGGGAAGCAGGGCTGTCGCTTTGTGGCTGGCCCCAAGGCCAGGCCCTGCGGGCAGCCCCTCAGCCCATCCCTTCCTTTCCCCTCCAGAAGCAGGTACTAGTGACGTCCTGGTGACATGGCTATAGTTAATAAGGCGGAGAGCTGGCATTCTTGCCCGGGGCTGAATCTAGGAGGAGTTTGACACCACACATGGGTTTCCAAACCTCTGCACTCAAGTCCGCATTCAGCTGGAGCTCAGAAGCGGCCTAGCTTCCTGGCTGGGCTGGGGCGCTGGGCAGGTGCAGTCAGGTGCTCGGGGACCCAGAGTGGGTGGGACCTGCAGAAAAGCAGGTGTTTGAGGATGGAACTAAGGCCGAACCCTAGCATCAGGGCCCTGAAGTGGAGTCCTCAGAGCCAGTCCCCCGGGTTGGATACCGACCAAAGGCCATGTCTCTTGAGCAGGCCAGGCAATGGAGGCAGGATGGATGGAGTCAGCCAGTGGACCGCACTTTTAGGAAGGTGTCTGATGATCAAGGAGGGCTGAGCAGAATGAGGATTTAGCCATCACACAAGGTTTGGGGAACTGTGGTGAGGTCTGCAATTCAGGTTGGGGGTGAGCATGGCAGCCAGTGTGCCTCTGCGGCCAGCTCAGCGCAGGCTCTCATCTCTGGGATGTCCGGTCCCAGCACCTGGCTCCAGGGTCAAGTTCTGCAAATGAGTGAGGGACTCCCAGAGGCCTGAGGAGGACAGGGACTTTGTTTTACAGAAGAGAACCTAAGTTGCAGAGGACGGTAAGGTCCCCCAGGGTGGGAGGTGGAGTGGGGACCACCGTGTACAGCCCTGTCTAAGGCTGACCTCTTCACCCCAGAGCCCAGTGGCCCACGGTGGCAGGTTTGCTCAGTGGTGTGCCTGGCAGGTCACTGGTCCACAGTCTGCCTGGAGCTCAGGGGCAGGAGCAGCAAGGCCAGGCCCAGGCCCTGTGCCTTCCCTGGCCTGGCCTCGGAGCAGGGGCCTTGCCCAGGCAGCTCTGATCACGTTGTCTGTGGCTTCCCTGGTTCTTTGCCAGGAAGGGAGAGAGCAGCAGTGCACTTGGACGCGAGTTTACTGTTCAGTCCAGTGAAGCATGAGCCGTGGCCTTCCTTGAGCAGATCATTACTTAGGCACAAAGCTGACTTGGGTGGGGCCGGGGCTAGTTATGCAGTTGGCTTTTTGGCCACTTCCTCTTCAGACCTAGGATTTTGCCTGCCCGCTGGCTGAGCCTGGTTTCCACAGCGTGGCAGTGGGTTCTGGGGTCGTGCTGTTGGCTGGACTTCAATGTGCTTTGAATCCTCCAGCTTCAGGCAGGTCATGAGCCTGTGTATGTCCACCCCAGGGACCAGCACTTTGATCCCGAGCCCCGGGCCCAGCAGAGGAGGGCAGGCGAGGGGGCAGGCGAGGCCCTCACGGTGGCCCAGGAGCCTGGAGCTGCCTGTCGGGACCAGGGGGCTCTGACAGCTGCAGATTTTCTGGCTGCTTCGGTTGAGGTGAACTTGGTTCAGCTCTCACCGGGGCCTTTGTCTTGGCTTCCTGCGGTGACTTCAGAGTTGAGCAGGTGTCCTGACGCGAGCCACTCGTCAGCCGGCCTACCTCGACACCTCCACAGCCTCACTCGTCCCGACTCTGGAGAGCCCTGGGCTGGCAGACGTGTCTACGCTGAGCGCCTGGGCTGGGATGGCAGCTCTTGGGGAACTTGCCAAGGGCAAGGGAGGGGGTGAGGGCTGTGGCCAGACCTGCTTGGAGCCCAGCTCAGGACAGGGCCTGTCGGGGGCAGAGGAGGGCGTAAGGCTCTGTTGGTGTTTGTGGCTCCTTGAGAACCTTTTCCAAAAGTCTCCCTGCAGGAGCCCGTGGCTCCTTGGGCCAGTGGAGGGTGGAGAGTGGGCTGGAGCTGGGCCGCCCACGTGGGAGGCCTGGCTGTAACACCCCAGGCAGCCACTTGGCCTTTCTGAGCCTTGGCTTCCCTGGCTGCAGAGTGGGGCCGTGGACCCGCGTCCTCAGACGGCAGAATGCATTCAGGGCACACTTAGCACTGCCCTGCCACCTGTTTAACCAGGCTGGGGGCACCATGTGCATGTTCTTGAAGCCACGGGAGGCAGGCACAGTGAGACGTCACCTAGGGAGGCTCATATGCAGAGTTGGTCCAAAAGCATTTGATCTGAACTCCAGCCTGTGCCACCCGAGTGGTCGCTGGCCCTCTGGTGGAGGGGAGGGGCTGGGGCTGGGTTTGGCAGAGCTGAGCAGAGGGCAGGGGCTAAGCGGGGAGCGGCAGGAGGACAGCGGGGGCGTGGGGCCCGGCCCCTCTCACCTGTGGCCCGGTCTCCCCAGCAGGTCAGCTCAGCATGTCGGTCAGTGTCCACGAGACCCGCAAGTCGCGGGGCAGCGCGGGCTCCATGAACATCACGCTGTTCCACAAGGCCTCGCACCCCGACTGTGTGCTGGCCCACCTCAACACGCTGCGCAAGCACCGCATGTTCACGGACGTCACGCTCTGGGCCGGTGACCGCGCCTTCCCCTGCCACCGCGCCGTGCTGGCCGCCTCCAGCCGCTACTTCGAGGCCATGTTCAGCCACGGCCTGCGGGAGAGCCGCGACGACACTGTCAACTTCCAGGACAACCTGCACCCCGAGGTGCTGGAGCTGCTGCTGGACTTCGCCTACTCGTCCCGCATCGCCATCAATGAGGAGAACGCCGAGTCGCTGCTGGAGGCGGGCGACATGCTGCAGTTCCACGACGTGCGCGACGCGGCCGCCGAGTTCCTGGAGAAGAACCTGTTCCCGTCCAACTGCCTGGGCATGATGCTGCTGTCGGACGCCCACCAGTGCCGCCGGCTCTACGAGTTCTCCTGGCGCATGTGCCTGGTGCACTTCGAGACCGTGCGGCAGAGCGAGGACTTCAACAGCCTGTCCAAGGACACCCTGCTGGACCTCATCTCGAGCGACGAGCTGGAGACGGAGGACGAGCGCGTGGTCTTCGAGGCCATCCTCCAATGGGTGAAGCACGACCTGGAGGGGCGCAGGGCCCACCTGCCCGAGCTCCTGCGCAGCGTGCGGCTGGCCCTGCTGCCGTCCGACTGCCTGAAGGAGGCCGTGTCGGGCGAGGCCCTGCTCATGGCCGACGAGCGCACCCGGCTCATCGTGGACGAGGCGCTGCGCTGCAAGACCAGGATCCTGCAGAACGACGGCGTGGTCACCAGCCCCTGTGCCCGGCCGCGCAGGGCCGGCCACACGCTGCTCATCCTGGGGGGCCAGACCTTCATGTGCGACAAGATCTACCAGGTGGACCACAAGGCCAAGGAGATCATCCCCAAGGCCGACCTGCCCAGCCCCCGCAAGGAGTTCAGCGCCTCGGCCATCGGCTGCAAGGTCTACGTGACCGGGGGCCGGGGCTCCGAGAACGGGGTCTCCAAGGACGTGTGGGTGTACAACACCGTCCACGAGGAGTGGTCCAAGGCGGCGCCCATGCTCATCGCCCGCTTTGGCCACGGCTCAGCCGAGCTGGAGAACTGCCTCTATGTGGTCGGGGGACACACGTCCCTGGCCGGTGTCTTCCCGGCCTCCCCGTCGGTCTCCCTGAAGCAGGTGGAGAAGTACGACCCCGGCACTAACAAGTGGACGATGGTGGCCCCGCTGAGGGATGGCGTCAGCAACGCCGCGGTCGTGAGCGCCAGGCTGAAGCTCTTCGTTTTCGGGGGGACCAGCATCCACCGGGACATGGTGTCCAAAGTCCAGTGCTACGACCCCTCGGAGAACCGGTGGACCATCAAGGCCGAGTGTCCCCAGCCGTGGCGGTACACTGCCGCCGCCGTGCTGGGCAGCCAGATCTTCATCATGGGGGGCGACACGGAGTTCACAGCCGCCTCAGCTTACCGCTTCGACTGCGAGACCAACCAGTGGACTCGGATCGGGGACATGACCGCCAAGCGCATGTCCTGCCACGCCCTGGCCTCGGGCAACAAGCTCTATGTGGTGGGGGGCTACTTCGGGACCCAGCGGTGTAAGACGCTGGACTGCTACGACCCCACCTCGGACACGTGGAACTGCATCACCACCGTGCCCTACTCGCTCATCCCCACCGCCTTCGTCAGCACCTGGAAGCACCTGCCCGCGTGAAGAACACCTGCAGAGCCCGGCCAGGTGAGCCCGCGGCACCCCCACGCCTGTGCCCACTCTGGGTAAAGGCTGCCTCTTCCAGGGAAGGCTGGGCTGGGCTGGGCGGGGCAGCAGGTGAGTGGCGGGGAGGGCAGCGCTCTGGGACCCTTTTCCAACTCTGGAGCCAAAGCCTGGCTCTGCCCCTTAACTTGCAAAGCATGTAACTCCTCAGCCAGATGGGGGCAACAGCCTTAGACTGGGGGGTGGTTCCCAGACATGCCAGCAGATCAGAGACACTGGGGTCTTTGACAGTTGTGTGCAGAGCTGAGGGCACCATCTCCACATCAGGGCATCCTCACTGACATCAGCTGCCAGGGAAGGTTTTCCCAGTATCATCTCAGATCCAGCGCTCACTGGAAGGACTCATGAATGCACTGAAGGCATATATTCATGGTTATGGTTTATTATGGGGCAAGGATACAGATTCAAATCAGCCAAGGGCAGAGGTGCGAGGGACAGAGCCTTGGCTGGGGGTACAAATGCAAAGCATCTCTTTGTCCTGGCTCCATGGGGAGCACACGTGTCTCTCTGCCAGCTTCAGTGACAGTACACACAGAATATTGCCCAGCAGGGAAGCTCACACAGGCTTTGGGGTCCAGAGTTTTTATCGGGTCCCCATCACATAGGCATGATGGATTGATTGTGGTAACTCTGACATCACCTGGTCCAGTGTGACCCAAAGCCCCTGCCTGAAGTCACACGGATGTGGCCACCCTGACCCTAAACAGACACTCCTGTCTATCAGATGTGATCCAGGTCACCTCCCAGAAGCCAAGGGCGAAGGCCAGCTCTCTTTCTGGGCCAGGCCAGAGTCTGTGCTCCGCATGTCTAAGCCCAGACCACCTGAGTCAGGGTCGCTGGAGCCCAGGCCTTGTAGCCGTGTAGCTCCAGGTGAGTCCAGGGTGCAGCCAAGGTGAGAGCCCCACGCTGGGGGCCCGTGAGGGGAGTGGACGGAGCGCTCACAGGGAGGCAGGTGCTGGCCTGGGTGGGCGGGCACTGCTGGGGACAGCTGGTGGGACCGGGGCTCTGGGACCAGCTAGCCCTGGGGTTGGGTCCTGCCTCTCGGGGCAGCTGTGTGTTCGCCGGTGTGCAAGGGAGCCTCTTGTCCCCTGTCCCTCCACAAACTGGAGAGGTCTTCCTCAAAGCGGGCGTCACGATTAGGTAAGGGACACCCCCCCAACCTCCCAGCCCCCAGCAGGGTTGCTGCAGGGCTGCCTCGGTTACCCCGAGGTAGGGTGCTCTCTGTTCTTGGCGCCATCGTTACTGGAGATCATCACACAGAAAGGGAAGGTGACAGAGGATGCTGGGAGCACAGGGACACAGGCAGGTGTTCTCTGTGACGGACAGGGAGACAGGAGGATGGACTTGCCCAGGTCCTTGGACCGAGAGGGAGAGGGGGCAGAAGGCAGGACTGAGCCTGTCCTGGAGGGCCTCTTCCTAGGGGAGGGCAGGATTTCTCCTGCAGCCCTTCTGGGGCGGGAGGGATCTGCGGCAAGTCCTGAGGTTGAATTAAGGTGTCCCAAGTCAGCCTGCCAGGAGCTTGGGGGCAGGGGCTGGAATTGGGTGATGGAGGCACCGGAGGAGGTCCTCCATGGTCAGGTCCCAGCTCCCAGCCCTTGGGGCTGTGAGGTCAAGGGACCCTAGGTGGATGGGGGACAGGAGGCGTGGGTCCCGGGGGCTCTGAGAAGCCGGGTAGGGTGGGAGGTGCCAGGGCGCTCCTGCCCACACCTGTGCCAGTGCTTGACTGCTCTGAGGAGCCCTTCCTGGGCCCTGTGCGGTTCAGCTCACAGGAGCCCCGTCAGGAGCTGGCCTGAGCTGAAAAATTCATTTCCTCAATGACCCGGCGGCTGCTGACACGAAGGCTGAGCACTCATACTTAGCCAGGATTGCTTCTGAATGCAATCTGATGTTTCAGCTATTAAATCAGATCCAGCCGGGCCTTCGAGGCCCTTAAAGGGATACGTCTGCGGCAGGCGAGGCAGGCCCAGAGAAGGCATCAAATCCCTGCACACGGGGTGTTTGGCCTCATCAGGCCAGCCTGGAGGGGAATGGGGCTTTGTTCTCTTCTTTGTTCTGTCTTAACCTGCTCTCTCCATCTTTGGGAGAAAAGTCTAACCAGCCACATGTCTTGGTCCCCTGGGGAGTGCGTTTCAAAGGGAACGAGTCCCTGTTCCTACAATCACCTGGGCAGCTCTGCCCCTGTCCGGTGTTTGCCCGACCCCAGGGCCCTGGAGGGCAGTTCTTCCCCAAGTAGGAGGGGTGGGGGGCAGGTCAGGCATTAGGACCCAGTGCGCCCTTTACTTTGCTGGGGGCCTAGGGAGGGAAGCCTGCTTGACTGTTGGCTCTGACTCTTGCTGGCTGCTTGACCCTGGTTGCTTAACTTCCCTGAGCCTCAGCTTTCCCATCAGGAACGTGGGCATAAAAATTGTATCGCTTGAACTAGGGGGCTGGGGTCAGGGTCGGCCTTTGTACGAGGTTGTGATCGGGGTGGGGGATGGTGGTGATAATGGTTTTGGGATGCTTTGGGTGGCAGGGCCCTCTGGATGTCCCCTGGCCAGCCCCTCCTTCTGGAAAGCTCCATGCCCCACTGTTGGGATCACACACCCATAGGCAGTAACAGGGTTCACTGGGGCCTGCTGCACACAGGTGGTGTGGTGTGACCCCTGACCCTACATCCACTCTGCAAGGTGGAGAAGGCTCCCATTTCAGAGATGCGGAAATTAGTTCTCCAAGAAGTATCTGCCAAAAATTTGGATGGTCCAGCCCAGGAAGGCCTGGGGAAGTGCCAGAGTGGTCCGGGAGGAGTCCGGGAGCCAGGCGGCTCCCAGCTCCTCTGCCTTCAGGATGCCTATAGGGTGCTACCACTTCCTCCTTGGGACAGCCCAGGGGTCACTCAGAGCCCCTCCTCCCCAGCACTGGGTTTGGGGCCCTACCCTGAGGGGACTTCGTATCTGCTGGGGAGGAGTGGAGGGGCCTGGGCCCCTGAGCTTTGGGTTCACCCACTTAGACCATCTTGGTATGTTTAGGGCCTGGGACCCAGTTTCTAGCTTGTGAGGAGCTTGGAGGGGTTTGGGGGGGCCTTCCTCAGCCCCACTGAGGACACAGCGGTCACCCTACCCAGGCCACACAGGTGGACGGGTGGCTACACCCCAGGCCGAAGACCAAGCGTGCGGGCACTGTTACCTGATGTTTGCAAAGGTGGGGTTGCCTCCGCCTCCTGGAGGGCTGGTTCTCTCTTCCCTTTCGAAGCTGGTGTGAGACCCCCCCACCCCCGGGCAGCTCAGCATGTAGGGAACTGTCCCAGGGCCCAAGCCTGCCTCCTTCGTTGGGGCCACCTCTGAGCCCGTGGCACTGAATATTGGCCAGAGGAAGTGAGCCACCAGCACGGAAATGGGGTTGGGGGGCAGCATGGAAGACCCTTCATGGGAACTCCCAGCCCCTCCCTCACTGTCCTGAGCATTCCTCCGCCCCACCCCTCTGGGTCCTTCCTGGGCCTGCTTCTCCGGCCAAGGGCACCACTTCTGGACACATCCTGCTTGGAGTCGGGCTAGGGTTGTGCCAAGCTGTTGCTGTGAGTGAGGCTGCAGAAATGGTCACGAGGAAACCCTTGTGCCCACCTGGGTTTCCTTAGTTGCTTCCAGGACGGTCTGCATCAAGCCTTCCACGTGCATTAGATGACTCCATCCTTCCCTAGGAGGCAGGTGTCCTCATTTTGCACAGGGAAACACGAAGCTCAGAGCGGGCCCCAGAGTGGTCGAGAACCCAGTTCCGAGTGTGTGTCATGACCACAGGGACCTGTCCTGCCTCGTTTACCACTGCATCCGTCCCACAGGGCCTGGGCTGATAGGCCGTGTGGTAAACATGTCAAGTGCAGGAGTGAATGGGCTGGCTGTCCCCTGGCTCTCGGATCTTGTCTGCCCCTCACTGTTTCCGTCTCTCTGGCCTACATTTAGTTTCTCAAAAGTGCCAGGTTCCCACCCTGGGGCCTTTGCACATGCCATTCCTCCTGCCCAGACTGCTGTTGGCTCCTCTAGCGGACTCCTGTCTGTCCTTCAGGTCTCAGGTTAAATTTCATCGTCCACCCCAGTTAAAGTCCTGGTTCTAATCTCTTAGTTTCTTATTTCTCAGAGCTGGCACGGTCAGTGTATGATGGGTGTGTATACATTTGTACAAACCTGTAGTTTCTCCCACTGGAGGACGATCCTTGGGGGATGGTAGCTGTGTCTGTCCTCCTGTTTCCCTGGCCCGGTGCCCGCCAGGTGGAGGGTGCTCAGGGCTGAAGCGGCTGATGGACCGATGCGTGGCTGCACTGCTGCTGAACGAGAGCTGCGCCCTCACGCCTGGGCCTTCCACGTGGCCTCTGGCTCTTCATCTGGTTCCAGGTTAGGGTGGAACAAGGTGGGTGTGATTCATATCTTCTCCCTCTCATTCCTCCACAGACTCTGCGCGTTTCTCCCTGCCCCATGGCTGCAGCCCTCATTGTCACATGGTGGCCCTGACCCTGCCTGCCACAGCAGGACGCCCCGCCCGGCCCCACCAGCTCTGGGAGTAGCGGCCTCAGGGGCTGCTCTGATCTTCAGAAAGAGAAGCCGTCACCAGTGCCCGTGTGTCTAGCCGAGGCCTTTCCTGCTTGGCAGGGGTTTGCGGGGGTGAGGACCTTCCAGAGGGGTGAGGATGGATGCCAGGACACCCCTGGCCTTGGAGAGGACACTTGTAGAGCCTTGGGGTCACCTGTTGCAGCAAGTCCTGGCTGGGTTGGGGGGGTGCTGAGTTCGGGGAGGGGGTGGTGGCAACACTGATGGCCTGGCCTTTGGCCACAGCTTCCCTCTCAGTGTTATGATGTCACCCCACAGGGGGTGTCCCAGGCCTCTGGGAACGTGTGCCCTGGGACTGAGGGTAGAAGGTGCAGAGGAGAAAACTGACATGTTGTTGGAGGGAGGGAACCCTTGGGTAACCTCAGCGATGCCCACAAGGCGTCATTAGCAAATGACACCCCGACCCCAGGGTTAAATGGACCCTCTCCAGAGTCGAGCTTTGTCCCCAGTGACCTTGCCACCTCCAGTTCAGACCAGCCATGCCCCAGGATGCTGTGCCCAGGTGCAGACACAGAGGGGTGGGGGGCTCCTGGGTGACACATGCTGTTAAACAAGGAGATACCTGGAGCCACCCTGTCACCTCCCTTCAGAGCCTAGCCTGAGAGGCACCAATGACCCCATCCCCTGACAGGACTACACCAGCCCTGGAACGTGGCCCTCCCTTCCAAGACCAGAAGCAGATAGGAGCTGGGGACCACAGAGGGGCCCCAGGGTGCTCACTGCACATCCCTCTGGGGCTGGGCTCATCTCAGCTTGGAGGATGGCCAGCCCCACCAGCCCCCACTGTCCTTCGCCATTGACCTTCCAGCTGATAATGATCTAGCCCATTTGCCCCCTGAGTTCAGAGGTAGGGATTGTTCCCAAGAACACTGCCAGCCATTTGTTCATTTTTCCCACCTTCTGAGTCACGGGGTCCCTCCTGTGTCCATCCTCAGCAGCCAGGGCTCTGGAGAGGCTGGCTCCTGCCACAGTCCTCCTCATACCGAGCATTTCTGGGCTGGTCCCTTGCTCGCCCAGTGTTCACTGGAGAGGAGGGGGCGTTTGGTGCTGGAGCCAAAACCTGTGACTTCCCAGGCTGCCAGCCACCTGCACGGTGCTGCTGGGCTGGTTCAGGACTGGGGCTCCAAAGCAGGTTGCTTTCCATAATGTGGCCCTGCCCCCTTACAGGACCTCTGTGCTGGTGCTGGTCCTGTGGGCATCTCCTGGGAGCGGGGCCTTTGGGCGGGTTTGTTCACAGATGAGCACCAGCTGTAGACCATCAGCTGCCACTGGGGAAAAAGCCAAAAGCAGAAGGTACATCTCTAGGTTCTTCTGAACCTCCGGACCCTGCCTCTGTCAGAGGTGGCCTCTTGCTCTTGGTGCTTCAGCTCAGCCACCCAGAAGCCAGGTGG